TTTAATCGGAAACACAGCTGGTAATATTTGGTTTTAATTCGGCTTTTATCGGGGTTTATTTTTTGGATTTCTGTATTTTTGTATTTTGTATTTTTTGTATTTTGTGTATACTATTTGTTTTTAATATGCTGTGAACCGCCCTGAGTCCTATGGGAGAAGGGCGGTATACAAATTAAATTATCTATCTATCTATCTATCTCAGCTTTCGTTTCGGTGTAGATTAAGATATCGTTCAAATACACCAAAACCCCTTTGTACAGGTGCTCATGGAGGACCTCATTAATCAGCCGCATAAAGATGGCTGGCACTCCTTGTAGTCCAAATGGGAGCACTTTGAACTGGAAACATCCCAGGGGACCGGAATCTCAGTCATTGAGCAAAGCAGTCATTAAGCAAAATATCATGTGACTGCTTCGCTCAACAGCAGCACTCCCGGTTGCAAACTCGTGGGTCATTAAATGAGTGCAGTATCAGGTAAGGAGCATGGAGTTCCTCAGGAGGAGGTAGGGGAGACCCTGGGAGACTCCGCTCCTGCTGAAATCCAAATAGGATTTTCAGCCCTTAAGCAAAGAAACATACGTGTGCGGCCTGCACTGGGCCTCACTCACCCCACCCTTACCTTACTGTGCTGCCCCTCTCCCCAGCTTTCATCTCCCTCTCATCTCTGGGGGCAAGAAGAAAGAGCACCCTGTACAGAGAGTTCAGCTCCCCTTCACTGCGCAGAAGGGAACTCCTTCAGCAAGGTGCAGGACAGGAGCTCAAATATTTGGGAATTGAGCATTTCTGTATCCCACAAAGGAGTATTTTGCTCTTCTCTGGAAAGAGAAAAACATTATGCTTAAGCAGGCATGTTTAAGCAGTCTTAAGAGGAGAGATACATGCTGAATAACTAAATCAGAGTCCACCTGGGGTATTTTGATGCCTGCAGTAGAAATATCTTTTCCCACAGAAGAGATGGGGAGACTGCTCACACAGTTTGCTTTCTGAGAAGCTTACGAAATAGAATATCCTGGTGGATTGTGCACATAGAATAAATAGCTTGGTTTGCCTCCCATCCTGTTGCTTTTTAAATGATACCCCAGATCAGCTAATTCCTCCGTGATATCTGTGAGTAATTTGAAACAAATCTTTCTTTGAGAAAATGGAGAAGACCTTTCCCAACCTACCAGCTTTCACATGTTAAACATATGTCAAAGCTGTAAGGAAACAGTGAACAGAAGTCCCCACCGGGGATATTTCCCTAAATAATGGAATTATTTGGATGGGGACAGTGATTGCTGATTCTTCCCTTAATTTCCTAGCATCTGGCTGAGACTTTTTGAAGGATGATGAGCTGGCATAATTTTCCTCTGAAAGTATGCTTTCTCCAAAAGTAGTAGTAATGGTCTTTGGTTTCTGTTTTGTAGGCCTTGTACTGTGTTTCTATGATTGGCCAATTTTGAGGTAATGCTGTGTTTTGTTTTTCCCTCCAGCAAGTTGACCTCTTCTCTGCAAAGCTTCAACATATTAGCTTTTGACAAGGAGAGGCTGGAGAAGAAGGTCAGTGATGTGGATTTCGGTTTATGTGTGTGTATGCAAACAGACACATGCAGGGAAGGGGTGAGGCAGTCACATTGCACAACCTCGGTATACACTGTGCTTTGCTTTGCTTTAATTTACACCAAAAAGCAGGCCCCCAATTTTCCATGCTTCAGATTAAATCATTTCTAGGAAGTGAGGGAGAAAGAAAGGAAGATGCATGCATACATATAAAGGTTCACATACATATGTTCACAGCAAGGGGGGGTCTTTTTAGTTGATTTTATCTTTTTATAAACATTTCATCTTTTTATAAGCATAGGTATTATAATATTTGTTTCACATAAATAGCCCTAATATTACCAAACATTTCCCTGTTTTTCTTTTGTTCTTCTTACATTATGTGAGCTTGGCCATGTAAGCAGTTTAAGTTTTTCCATTATTTAGTAAATATACACCTTGTATGATGTAAACTAAATTTCAATAGCACAGTAGACAGATATGTAATAAGAAGAAGTGGGAAACACACAACAAATGGTGTATAGGTCACAAAAATTCTCTGGTTTTGGTTCTGAGCATTTTTTTTCATTGATCCAGAAAAATAAAGGTCATGAGAATCTTCCAGAGTAGAATTGCAAACCAAATATTAATTGCAGTGCACTCATACACATAGCCAGACATTTCTGGGGGCTGATTACTCAACCTGTTTGACAATTAACTTGCTAGAATTTGGTCTTAGAATGTCTCTTGTTGTATATTGTGCACTCTCCAATCATTTTGTTAGGGATTTACAAAAACCTCACTCTTGTTAACAGATATTGGCATACAACCAAGCTGGTCAGCCTCCACCCAGTGATCTGGTAGAGCAACATCAAAGCATCATTCAGAAGATCAACTGGCAAAAGTCCCAGCTACAGCATGGAAATGCTGCAATCATGAAAGGTATTTTGATAGGAAGGCTCAGCTGTGAAATCTGTCTCTCCTCTGGACTGACCTTGGTACACCAATCAGCCTTAAGACGGCATCCAAGTGATGGTTCCTGACCATGTTTGATCTTCATTCTACAGAATATCTGACTCGATTGGAGCAGTACCACCAGTGGTATACAGAGGCAGCCAGGCGCCTTGGAAATGACGGAAAACGGGTATGGAGTGATTTTGTAGCATGGTGGTGGGGCGAGGGAAGCAGACCCATTTTCAAGCCTCTGAGCTTGGTTTACAATGGAGGACCACATTTAAAAGCACATGGAATCTGTGTTGATACTAGGGCAGTTTGAACACAGGCCTCAGCTAAAATGCTGTCTGCTCTACTGTTTGGCAGGAGGCAGCTAAGGATGCTCTTTACAAGCGCAGTCTGGTGGAGAGGGAGGTGAGTAGTGCCTGATTGATTCTTCTTTTCCCTGCCCAGTTGGTCAGAACACTTAGAGACAAGCCTGGAACCTTTTCCATCTTATGTCATGGGTTCCCCTTTGGGGGTCCCTTCTTTCTTTTGGGTGGGTACAAATGGTTTTCCTGAAGGATTTTAACTTGTACAATTTTATTGAATACTAGTATTATAGAAAGTGTTCTACAAATCACATATTCCCCATCTTGGCAACCTTAAGACGTGTGGACTTCAGCTCCCAGAATTCCCTAGCCAGCATGGCTGGCTGGGGAATTCTGGGAGTTGAAGTCTACATGTTTCTTAGTTGTCAAGATTGGGAAACCTTGCTACAGATGATAAGACCATTTCCCAGATCCTCCTTAGTCAAAATGTTCTCCAGTTTGGGGTGCATGTTTTTCCTATAGCTGCAACTGGGTCAGGTTCTTTCTCCTGTCTCCATAGGCAAAGACATGCTCATTGCTGGTGCTATTTTATATTTTTTGAGGGAGGTTATTTAAACGATTGCCAGTTTCTACAGATATTTCTCAGGTGATTTCGTTATCAAACATTAGGCCGGTGGCTGCTAAGGAGACAGTCTTCACAGTGGTTCTTACAATCTCAGTGTGTTTTCCCTGGATTTTTTTTTTACTTTTATTTTTATGCCAGCTTTTGATCAGCCTTGGGAAAAATTGTATGTTAGTGGTCTTCGTTTTTTATATTTTTTTATCCTGCCTGTATTATTTTTATAAATAACTCAAGATGGCACAAACATACCTAATACTCTTTCCACCTCCTATTTTCCCTGCAACAACTCTGTGAGGTAGTTTGGGCTGAGAGAGAATGACTGGGTTACAGTCACCCCTTGCATGATGAGGCGGGACTAGAACTCACAGCCTTCTGGTTTCAAGCTAGTGCCTTAACCACTAGACCAAACTGGTTCTTATGAATGCCATAGATGGATTACTTATACTTTTGTCTTTTCTTGGAAACATTGATGTACCTGCATGTTTTTGTCTTTCAGCTGCAAAAGTTTCGGAAATGAAGCTAAAGCACTTAAATTATCTATCCAAGCAACAATGCTTTCAAGCATGGTCTTTTCACTGTTACAGGTGAAGGGTAGTGGAAAGACCGAAATGCATAGGCTGTATGCTGATGGATCAATATTGCCACAAGTTGATTCTTGATTGACTTTGCAGAAAACTCTTCCTATGTTTCACCATAAGTACATTATAACCCCAATGACCTGAAGAGAGACAATCCTTTTTACAGGTGCCTTATAGCTACATCCACCACTCCTCCTTTTGCACTAAGCGTTTTGCACATGCCACTTGAGCTGTTTTTTTTTTTAACCCCTTCTCAGTGGTCAAGGAGACTCTTGTGTGTGAAGTCTTATATGCCCATGCCTGTGGGATTTCTTTTTAAATCTACCTTGTATACCAGTTGAGTTAGAAGTCCCGTTCACCTGGTATCCTTTCTCCACTGACCAGGGTATTTAATCGTTTTAGAGGTGTAGTGTAGATAACAATTGCAGTGATGGAAAGATTCCAGAACATCCCAAATTAACTGAGTGGGCTCAATTTGGAATTTGGCACTTTCAGTATGTTTAGCGGTTATTCCAGAAGCCATATAGTCTGCATTCATTTCCTAGTTCCCCTTATAGCTACATCCACCACTCTGCTCTCTTTTGCACCAGGCACTTAGCACACTCTGTTTGAGCTTTGGTTTTCTGAACCTTATTGGTGCATACCAACAGCTGAATAATTCACTTTTGACTCAGCTAATCACTTTTCAGTGGTTTTCAGTGATCAAAGAGATCTAGTTCAGATTCCTCGTGTGCAGTTTTGCATGCCATCTATATCTGCCTTGTATGCCAGTTGAAGGTCCTGCATATGTGGTATCCTTCTCTACTGAGAGCTAACTAGTCTGCTCCTTAAACAATCTCTAATGTGGAGAAGTATGTAGCCACAAGACTCATACTTTTTGACACTTTCTCGTTGTTTTTAACTTGTCTTGGAGGGACCAAGAGACAAAGCATCTATGAGACTGCTAAATTAGATGGTTCCTTTTTTTATGTCTAGAGAGAGTAGCAGAGCAGTCTTTCTTCTAGGGAAGGAATAACTGTTCAGTTCTGGTGTACAAACAGCTTACGGAACTCATTCATGGTACTCTTATGCAGGTTAGATTTCCTTCTCATAATATATGTAATTGTATTATTTCTGTTGAATGGAAAATGGTATCTGATAACCCCTGCTTCCTGATACATTATAGAGAGAGAGACTGCGTCACTTAGCTCCTTTTTCCCCACACAAAGACAGGAGAGAGGCTACTGAAACCTGTTGGGCTGCTTTTTTTGTATAATCCATTTTGGCAGATGGAAATGTGATCTTCCCTAGTTCTTTTTTTCTATAAGATTGAGTATAGGAAATTAACTCAGGATTGTTGCTGCTGCTCAGGATGAAGTGAGGGAGTGAACTGTGGGTTAGATCCAGGTGGTCTTCCCTGCCTACATACCTTTTGAAATCAAATTTTAGTTTATTGTAAAGATAATAAAAGGAAAACAAATGTATTATATACATTTTCACAATCTCATTTTTATAAAAGTGCCTGTCTCTGAAATTATTGTTCAGCCAGAGTCTTTCAGAATTAATGTTAAAAGCAAAGGCTGCAAATCTGTGTTATGGCTTTATTTTATGTATAGGATGACATAAATATATAACATTTTTAAGGGAGGGAGGGGAGAGAAACTGTGTTCAAAACAAAAACTCTTTAATGTACCAGTAATAAATTCTCCAAATTGCCTTTTAATCTGGATTCTGTTTAAGTGTCTACTCAACAATAAAATGCCATTCTCATGGAATCTTCCGTCTATTTTATCACTTTAATTTCTTTTTCTCCAGCCATCTCTGAATAAAAACAGTTTAATCTGCTAAGCTAACATAAGTGTAGCTTATGAAGTCATTTGATATTAAAATAACTTAGTCTCTATGGCTTCATCCTTGATTCAGGGATGATGTCTTTGATCTCAATTAAAGCTATATTTTCCATAGAAAAATACAAGCCTTACGACTTTAGTCCTGTTATGATGGACCCTCAGTTGTAACATAGAATAATAGGGTTGGAAAGGACTTTTTGGTCTTCTAGTTCAACCTTCTGCTCACTCAGGAAATCCTATACCATTTTGGACAAACGGCAAGTAGTGCAGACTTCTGGAGGCAAGTTCTAGAGACAAGTTTTTTTTAATGTTGCCTCAAGTCTATTCAAACAGTCATAAATATAGGAGATCAAAATGCTGGCTAATAATTCTGTGTGATGGTGAATAGCCTAGCTATCATTTCTGTCATCTCCTTTGCAAATGGGATTTGACACATGGGGAAGAAAACCTTGGCATTTGCAACTTTCTAGCTCATTGCAGCAGCTGGGCTGTTAGATTGGAAATACATATGAGAAGTGATGCAGAAGAAGGAACTGTGGGGGAAGTGCTCCACTGAATATTTTATGTCCTAGCCAACATTGCAAGTGAGTGCAGGAGGATGCACTAACTTCTTCTGGGTATGACTGTCACTGTAGTTCCAGGAAAGCTTAGCCAAGCCAAATGTAGACCCATTGGCAATCAGCATTCCAGTTTTGCTCCCAAGAAAAGCAGCTCGCTTGCACTGGCTTTGTTGTATTTGGCTGACGGAAACCGGGAGAGTAAACACTATACAACAAAACCCCCTCCAGATGTTAGCAGGTTGGTTAGATTGATCAAAAGACCTAAGGAAGTAGAGTAGTGCAGAGAATTCCAGATGGTAATCTGCAGAAGAAAGAGATACAATCAGCTGGACTTGATGTCCAGAAAGTTTGGCTGTATTTATACTTGTAATATGGGATCTTCTGCACATGCAGAAGCAGCACTGACAACAATACTACACATTTAGGTTGAACTACGTTGTTGATTGGGAAAAGACTAGGGTGGGAAGGGAAAGCTCAAGGCGATAAAAATTGCCAAACAAACCTTGGATAATGAGATCCTCATCCAAGGATCCAATCCAAGCGGGATTATCTACCCCATTTATGTATAATGTGGTATCATTTTAGTGTTGGACGAAAACATTAAAAAAATTCACTGCAGCTTCTGTGGATGTTCAGTTTGCTGCACTGTGTAAATGTTTATAAAACACTGGATTTACACATACACAGTTTTTGGGAAACGATATTAAAAAGCAATGTACAAATGATTTAAGCCAACCACCCATCTATTTGCAATTAGGCTGTATCAAATTGCAGGTGGCATTTACATCATACTATTCCTACATGAAAGCCAGCTTGGTATAATCTAGAAACCGGGAGGCCCTGAGTTCTAGTTCACCTTAAGCACAAAACTAACTGGGTTACCTTGGGCCAGGCACTCTCACAGCCCTAGGAAGGAGGCAATGGCAAACACTTTTGAAATCTTGCCAAGAAAACAGCAGGGATTTGTCCAGCCGATCAACTGGGATTCAACACTGACTTGAAGGCACTCTTCCCCTTGTCATTTTTATATGTATAACTTATGACCATAAGTTGTCATTAATTTATGACCTTGTTTACAGCAATCATGCCAGGATCATTAAGCAAATGTGGCAGTCATTAAATAAATTCATTTTATCCAATGGGCTTTATGTGTGTACTTTCAGTGCTTTACTGTCAAAAACCAGCAAGAATTGTAGTGCTATAAATACAAGCCAGCTGCCAACCATCCCAAATGCAATCATGTCACCAGGAGGAGGTGCAATTGTCAGAACTCTGGAAGCAAACCATAAGTAAGTTTTTGTGAGTCCCTCATAACTTTGCATGGTCACTAAGTGGCTAGTTGTTAAGGAAGGACTGCCTGTACACATTTCCTTTAAGGCAACTACCATAGTAAGGAACAACACCAATTTTACTTGTAGTTGCTGAGTGATGAAAATGAAAGCTACTTTGTATGTTCACATGAATCTCACTCAACTTTGTAGTCCAACTTTCAAGCATACATTCATTGCCCCACAGATGATTTTCTATACTTTTTTCCCCTGCAAACTCTTCCATTATTCAGCTCTTCTATACCTGAAAACTTATAAGGAATCTGTTATCAGTGAAAATATTTTATTAATGTTTTTATATAATTAAATCACTTATCAAAAATTTCTGATTCTGCTAGAGCTGAAGAATATATAGGGTGAATGTAAACTTATAAGTTAGGTTCACGGAAAGCTCTAAATCTAACCTCTTCCAGGCTGCCTTCCTAGGTGCCCATCTGAGTCTGGGCCTGGTGTCCAGCTTGCAGGAGAGAGGTGCTGATAGGCTCTGGGTTGCCTGCCAGGTCTACTACTTCCAGGAATTTTAGGTCTGCAAATGCCTCTTCCGTCACATTGGCTGCCAATAATCGATTGGATCTACAAAACAAGGAGGGCAGAGTAATGTCACAAGAACTGGAGCCTGACCTTTTTGGTTCTTCAAAGATTTTTGGAGGGAATTCCAAAGGAGGCTATTTACATTTAAAATACAGACCATTTGTTTTGCTTAAAGACTATTTGTTTTAAAGATGAAGAGCAACACATATTTATAAACCTAAACTGACAATTCCATAATTTATGAGCTGTAAGCTCATATAATATTCAGACTACAGTAGTTAGGTATTCTATAAAAGGCAGTTAGTTAATCTTTCGTTTACCTGAGAGAGATGACCCGTATGTTGGGTGTTGTCAGGAAAGTCTCAGCCATAATGAGAATAATTCTGTTGTGTTGCAAGTATAGATATTCCAGTGATTCTGGAAGGTCTGGTGGAACGTATGACAACTCATTAAAACTCAGATCCAGGAGCTGAAAAAGAAAAACCCACTAAATATTGGGTTTGGGTGTCATTTACTATGGCAATAATTGAAGATAAGAAGCTATCTTCCATAAAACTAGCTAATCTGTAATTTCTGCAGACTTTCATAATGCACTTTGTAAAGCAGCTTTTCCTTTCATCTGTCCTAAACCCATAATAATGCAAATTTACTAGATGACAGGAAGTTACTTATTTGCAAATTCAAATTTAATTTTGCATGTACTGTAGGTATCTACATTTGTTTCAACTTGATTTTGGATGTCAATTCTTAATTTGCTTTACTTACACATAGGAGTTTATTCTGAAAAGCTCTACCATACTGCCGTCCTAAAATGACATTTCTTAGCCACAAGAATATATATTGCGCAGTCAACCTCCCTCCCTGTTCCTTCTTGCCTCACCTTGAGCCCATGCAGCTCATGCCAAGTGCCTGGAGAAATACTGCTGATCTTCAGCCGGTTGTGTGCCAGGTGCAGCTCTTTAAGCATGGTGAGGTTAACTAACCGTTCTGGAGAAAGAGCATTAAGCTGGTTCTTCTGAAGGTTGAGGACTTGAAGACTGTTGGGCAGCCCAGCCGGGAGCAGCGTGAGTCTATTGCCAGAGATGTCCAGAGTTTCTAGGAGCCTAAGCTTACGGAAGGCCAGGCGGTGGATGTGGGCACTATAAAGCCGGTTGTAACTGAGATTGAGCTCAGTCAAAGCATACGTGGCCGCAAAGTCATTCAAACCAATGCGTGCAATCTGGTTGTGCAGTAGCATCAAGGATCGGACACGCCGCGGAAGTCCAGGTGGGATTCCATCTAGCTGATTATTGTACAAATGGAGTGTATGCAGGGAGCGCAAGTGGGCAAAGGCCTCTGGGTGCATCCCTGAAGCTGTCAAAGCATTGCTTTGCAATAGGAGATACTGCAGGCCTCGCACGCGGCTAAGACGCTCAGGCGGTAGTCCCTTCAAGTGGTTTCGGCCCAAATGTAGTATTACTATGTTGGCAGGAAGACCAGCAGGCACCTCTGTCAAGTTGTTGTTGGAAAGATCCAGATATTCGAGTCTCTTCAGCTTGCTATAGAGATATAGGATGCCTGATAAAAAGCCTAGAAAGTCTTCCAATGGCCCCTACTCCAGCAAGTTGTCTACTCAATATCCAGAAGCCCTGATTTCAAATTATAGTGCTCTTTGCCACAGCCAATTTCACTTTTTACCATTCTTACCTGAAGGTGGAATGGGTCAGGCCTTCACTGGATAGATTATTGTTCTGCAGGTAAAGCTCCCGGAGGTGCCCCTGGCTGTTCAAGGCCCCTTTAGGGATACGAGAAATGTGATTATTCTGCAAAAGGAAGCCTTGTGGTCAAGGAAATGCCCCACTCTCATTCCTCCAACAATCTAGAATGGGGCTATAGATGAGAATGGCCCAAAAGCTCTCATGGTATTGCTCTCATGCAGAAGCAGAATAAATAGGAAATGAACATCCATAGCTGGATTGTGATAACTAATCACAAATCTGGCATTTTCCTCAGAATCTCCTTGGCTTTTCAGGCAGTTTATATTAGAGAAATCAATTTTAACCTATTTCCAGGACTGATTCTGGCTGCACAGAGCCCATATTCTTGAATATATTAGTTCATAATTTAAACTTAGAGAACATGGAAGAATGCATCTGTTTTTCATGCCCATTTTCCTATGATCAAGTAATACAGTTTATCTAGTAGAGGTAGAAAGAGTACAGGTAGTCTTCGATTTACAACCACAATTGAGCCCCAAATTTCTATTGCCAAGTGAGACATTTGTTAAGTGAATTTTGCCCCATTTTATGACCTTTTTGCCTCATTTGTTAAGTAAATCACTGAAGTTGTTAAGTTGGCTTCCCCATTGACTTTGCTTGTCAGAAGGTTGCAAAAGGTGATCACGTGACCCTGGGACCTGCAACCGTCATAAGTATGAGTCAGTTGCCAAGCGTTGGAATTTTGATCATGTGATCATGTGGGGATGCCGCAACGATCATAAATGTGAAAAATGGTATTCTGAAGTGATAACATTTCAAGAGAAGTTTCCATGATTCTGTAGGTTTCATACGTTAGCCCATAACAGTGTTTCCTAAAAAGAATTAGCTCTGATTGTCAGTTAACATTTCTATTTAACAAAGGAGACAAGATCTGACAAGGAATTTGCAACATACAAAAGATTGTGAGCATATGTGTTATGCCACTTTCGGGCGCTTTCCAACCCGTTCCAGGTGCTCCACTATGGAGGATGGCCTGGGCTTGTAGAATTGAGAATTGAGAAACAATTGAAAAACTGAGTTTAACACAACAGATTGCATCCTTTCTGCTAATGGCACTCTCTCTTACAGCTTTCCAGTTCATATTGTTCCAGCCAACCTATTTTTCCTACCCTGACAGGATAGCAGATAGCTACAGACCTGCAAATGGAGGCGAACAACACCACAGGGCAAATTCTGGGGCACATAGGTGAGCCGATTGTTGGAAAGGATTAGGGTGCTGACAGCATCCGAGCCATTGAAAGCATCAAAGGACAGGCCAGTGTTGTTCAAGTAATTGTTGTGCAGATAAACAGACCTGAATGGAGAAAAAAAATGCAAAGAACAGATTAAAATTGGCCTAGACCAGTGATGGTGAAACTTTTAGAGACCGAGTGCCCCAAACCCACCTCGCCCCTACCCCGTCCCTGTGTCTCCTGCCCGCAGGGCCACCTACCACCTCCACGGCCCGCCACAACAGATCGCCATGGCAGCCCAGCAGCATCATGGCGGCCACACCCTCTGCGCCCCGCAGCATCATCTGTATGCAATGGGGCGCGAGGATGGAGTCTTGTCCCCACTGCCCGGCTGCCATGTCCTTGGCTGCGCTGCTCTGCACAGGCCACGCCCGGGGCAACTCTCCTCCAGGGGGGCTGCTGGTGAGGAGGGGGCCATGGGGGGGTGGCAGGGCTGGGATGATGTCGTGCATGCCCACGGAGAGGGCTCTGAGTGCCGCCTCTGGCAGCCGTGCCATAGGTTCGCCACCACTGGCCTAGACCAATATCAGAGTCCTAGAGATATGTTGGCACTAAAATATCTTGATGGGACAAAAATAAAAGATAGGACTTGTAGGGCATATTCTCCTCCTCTGAATACAGGTAGTTCTCAACTTACAACAGTTCGTTTAGTGACTGTTCAAAGTTACAACGGCACTGAAAAAGTGACTTATGACCACTTTTCACATGACCGTTGCAGCATCCCCATGGCCACATGATCAAAATTCAGATGCTTGGCAACTGACTCATATTTATGACGGTTGCAGTGTCCTGGGTTATGTGATCGCCTTCTGTGACCTTCTGACAAGCAAAGTCAATGGGGAAGCCAGATTCACTTAACAACCATGTTACTAATTTAACAAGTGCAGTGATTCACTTAACAAATGCAGCAAGAAAGGTTGTAAAATGGGGCAAAATTCACTTAACAAATGTCTCAGCAACAGAAATTTTGGGCTCAATTGTGGTTGTAAGTCGAGGACTATCTGTATTCCACTTTCCCAACAAGCAAGAATGGCCAGCGAAGAGCCCAGGGACTACATACAACCCTTGCCCTATTTGTCCTGTCCTCTGCCATGCCTATAGGGCTTCTCTGTGTGCCTCTCTCTGATGAAGAATTTCAACCTTCCCTGCTTAGTAATTCAGGTCAGGCCTTTTGCTGCTACCTGAACAGAGGGTGTGATTTCCATTGGCATTATTCCCCCCACCCCCACCCCCTGCCCCAGGGTGCCACTCTTGTTATGTAGTTTTACAGGGAGTTGGCCAGCACCTTGTAGTGCTAGTTTTACTTTTAACAAAATGTGGGGATTTTTTTTCTTAGCTTTACCTGAGACCAGGCTTATGCCCAAAGGTGAGTGGAAAGACCCAGGTCAGGTGGTTGGCAGCAAGGTCCACAATGCGTAGTGTGTGAGGTAGGTACTGTGGTGCCACGGATAGCTGGAAAAGAAATGTGGAGATAGGTACTCATTTTATGCATACAGTTGGAACATGGAAAATGGGAAACATGAACCAGGAAAAACCCAAAATGGTCAAAATGGAAATAAGGCATACTAAAATGAATGCTTTAATAATATGAACTTAGGTGGATTGAGATCATGGAAGCATGATTTAGGACATGAAAGCATATGAAGGAATCAAGTAGCCACAATATTGAAAAAGGACTTAGGTAAACACAACAATGCAGAAACTAAATTAAATACGGTTTTGTGAAGAGAATGCTTTATCACTAACCCCTGCTTCAAGCAACATAAACACAACAACAAAACCAACCATATGGAGAAATGGAGAAATATAATCCAGCCTTGGTTCAGGTTGTGTATGAGTAATAAACTATTGGTGGTAATATATGGGTTAGACTTTGAACATTAATTCCCTAGATATATCAGATTTTAACCGGTGGACAAATTAAGTGAAAGAGACTCTGAAGTGCTAAGAGAGATCACTGAGTAAGCGAATGGTGGAAATTAACAGGTGTCTATCAAGGCAGTTTAAGGGAGATTCACTAACAAATTTTCATTTAAATCAACGAGTCAAGTACTCAAGTAAAATAGGACTCTAAAAACAGTTAGAAAATGAAATAAAAACATTTTTACTGGTAATACTCTAAGAAGAAAAAAAGTGAAACTGAACAGTATGCAACTGATTTGCAATGTTTGCCGCAGGTCTTCTTGCCTAGAAATAACTGGAGATTAATTTGCAGCACAGTGGAAGCAACCTTAATATGAAAACAAAGAGAGAAGCAAGGGCAGAAGACAATAGTATCAATCAGAAGGAAAAAGATTAGATGTCTTGGAGCTTTTTAAGATAAAACAGGTTCTGAATAAACTTTTCCTTCAAATGATGGAGAAAGCACAAGTTGTTCTTGACTTGCTGTTAACCAGTAGAAAGACTCAAGTAAGAAAAAAAAGAGAAATTTAAACTGAGCATACTCAAATACATACTGTATCTTGGACTTCAAAAAAGCAAATGTTAATAAACTCAAAACAAATGTAAGCTGGAGAAGCTACTGAGAAAAACAGCTTAAGAATGGTAGGAATTCCTAAAGAAGGAAGAATCACTTATTTTGTGAGAATGGGTGGCTACATCAATTGAATAAATACCAAAAGCACAAGTGCAAATAATTCCAATAATGTGGAAAACTAGTTAGGCTTCAAAAAAGAGAGAAAAACACCAGATAGCTAATACTTATAGTAAGAAGGATAATGGAGAAAGCAAAAGAATATAAGAGCAAGATTTGCCTTTTTTTAATTGATGACAAGCCTTTGATTATATATCATAAACATGAAATATATTAAAGATAATAGACATGCCAAAACATCTACCGTAATTACTTTTTTTGAGAAACCTTTACAATGAATAAGCTCTTATTGTACTTTAAGAATGCTGAATTCTATCTAGCTTCCTTCTGTTTGTATTTTTATTCTATTTTTTATAAAGAGCTTTTAGGGTGTTACCACTGTTCTATATCTTCTTGTATACTGGCTGTAAATAAAATAACAAAGAATTATTGCAGGAAAAGAATTCAATCATGAGGTTACCCTCAGTGGTGTTAGATGGGAAGTACAGTACGACTCCATGCAGGCCTATTCTTACCAAATCTTAACAAAAATAAGGGTGAAGCTACTTTTCTACTCACAGTTCAGAACCCTATTATTCCTTAATAGAGTTGCTGAGTTTCTATTTGCCAGAGTTTCTGCAAGAAGGCATAAAAAGTCCTAATCTTGGACTGATAACATCATGATTTATGTTTTTGTTTTTATTTTCTTTATTCCTAATCTATCATTCATGCAGTTTTAGTGCATTTCATTGAAATCTCATTCTTTGATTTTCAAATCCTAATTTTGTAAGTTTTATATTAATTTTCCACTGTCTTTGTTGTATTTGGTTATTGCTTCTGAATTTGGATAGGGCTTTTTAAATTTTATTTTATCCTTGGATTTGAGAGGTAAAGCTAATATTCTAGCACAGAGCATGCCAAAGCATTTATGGGATAGTTAGCCTGGCTGTAATCCCTTGCTTGGGATTTGAGTTTGGAGAGAAGACTATTATTGAAGGGCTAGGAAAAAAGATTGAGCAAATAGTCTGAAAATTAAAGATAATTTGATGGGATCTTCTACAACAGAGATATCAAACTGCCGGCCCACGGGCCGGATGCATCATGACAAAACCGCATCCACCCCATTGCCGGTAATGGAAAAAAAGTCACGATACGTCGCAACATGTCAGGTGACATTGTGAGTTTGACCCCCTGTTCTACAAGAATATATTTTTCTGAATTGATTGAGCAATTTGAAAATCCAAATTAATCTAAAAAATTCAATTCAAATTTAGAAATCTAAATAGGAAGGGAGGTGTTCCATTTTAGCATAAATCATGTCTATTCTTAATTTTTTATTTTGTTTTTTTGATCAGCCAAGGAAGTTATATATTTCTGGAAGAGAAAAAAAACTTCGGATCAAGATTGATGCCTAGTACCTATATAGAGATAACCATGCAGTTCTCTTGGCAATAATATGGAAGTGGATTGCCACTGCCTTCGTCTAGGTTTTTTTTTCTCAATCTAGCCTACAAGCCTGGTATCCCTTGGTGGTCTCCGATCCTAGTACTAACCAAGTCAAACCCTGCTTACTTTTCTAAACCAGCCAGATTAGGCCAGGTGAGGTAAAGTAATGGTCATAGATGGTGACTATGGTCCAGTGGTCCAGCGGTCTACCCTGAGTTCTTTGGAGGAAAAGTGGGCAAAAAATATAATAAAAATATATCATAAATGATTCCTTCTTTTAAACAATCCTAGTTCTTATCCATTAACCATTTGATTTTTATATAGAAATCTCAGAGCCTAATTTTTTCATCTTGTGGTTCCTTAATTTAGCATTTCCTATCTTCTTTGCTGATGTTTGTGTTTTTCTGTGTTTGTGCAAGTAAAACCCACATCGCTACATTGTATGCCCTTATTCATCTAAACATGCTCACCTTGTTATTGGCCAGATAGATGTACTGAAGTGACTGCAGTGGCTCAAAGGCTTCATCCGGAAGACCTATAAAATGGGACAGACTAGAATAAGATCTGTATTTGGGATCCTGCCTAAGTTGCTGTGTCAGTTAGATTTCTTTCCCCATGCAAGACCTCCCAGTATCCACTCATCTACTTGGTATTCACCTCTCTCTACCCACTCATACCATGCTCAGAAAGTAAAGAAGACTGGTTTGCAGTCTCCTGCTGATTCAGTCAGCTTTGACTGGGACCGAGCTGCTATTTATCAGTCCTTCCACACAGAGCACCCACACACACACACCCACACACACACACTCCTGCAAAATATATTTGAGTTCTATCCTGCCTTTTATATGAGCTAAAGCAGCATATTGTATGTAGCATTCCCTTCTGTTTTTTCCTTAACCACCCTGTAAGATGAGGTTAGACTAAGAGGGAGTGACTGGCCCACAGTCACCCAATGAACTTCCGTGGTTGAGGGTAGACTGGCCTTATTCTAACCAGTTCAACTTTTTAACCCTCTGTTCAATAGAAGAAAAGGAAGCGATACTTTACATTTGAAAGAGCCTTTCCACCCAGCAAGCCATCTACACTTAAAAAGAACTTAAGATCAAAGGATTAACTACTGTTTGTGTACATTAAAAGGAAGGATCTCCTGACACACCTGGGAATACCAGGGCATACTTGCTTACCATCAGAGGTGACCAGATTGTCATGGAGATTGAGGGTTCGTAGGTTGATCAGACGGGATAGTTCATGGAAGGGTAGCTCTTGCAATTGGTTATTCTACAGAAGGAAGATCAGCACTGTATAACAAGGGTAGCAAGGCATCCATACCACCAGGGTGTTTCCTTTCTCTGAACACCTGAGAAACACCTGAGTTTTCTGAGAACTATTATTTTACCCCACAGAGCAAAGCTCATTATCTGCCCCAATATGTATCAAGGTAACATCACCTGCAATGAAAGATGCTGGATGTCTGTAGAGATATTGCTGGGGAAAATGTGCAGGTCAAGGCCACCGCAATCCACTGTCTCCTCTGTTGGGCAGGTGCATTGAGCTGGACAACCAGATACATTCTGGGCAGGATCCCCACGGGTCTGGGATGTTGACAGTGACAGATCATCATCTTCATCTTCATCCTCCTCATAGTTTTTCAGCAGAAAGCTATAAGGTATACTTGCCAGGAGTAGTAATAGATGACCACTGCACAGCTGTTGGGGCAGAAGAGGGGCTAATCAATGGTGCTCTGTATAATATCATAACATGCTTTTCTCTCAATGCTTCTCCTGTCTGAGTAGGCCAGGAAACACCCCTCCCCTCTCTCCTCCCAAATCTGTCCCTTTGGGAATGTAGACAGAGGTCCTACATAGTAGTGAATGCCTTACTAATTGAAATTGGGTTTTTGTCTCTCCCATGGGGTATTAAGTAAATGATTTTTTTTAAATAGAGGCTGACAAAAATATCACATGCAGGATAGGAAAAACAGAGGCTTGCACTAAATGTTTGGGTAAAGTTCATGCGCACATGGAACAGTATCAAAAGTGTTGGGAATGGGCTTATGCAAGATTTTCATTAACGTGGCATGGAAAAAGGCCTTATTGACTAATTATTGGGGAAGGGGGAGCAAAAACCCACACAATAGACCTTACAAAGATGAATGTCAAGCAAACATTAAAGGCCAAGTGCAACAGAGAAATCATCTAGAGTAGACTAGAGTATTACATTTGTAAATGTGTAAATGAGAGAGAGAGGGAGAGAGAAGAAAGTATGTTGATATTCCAGG